ACTTTTTGTAAACGTGCAAGACAGCATAAGCCAACACCAAATGAATCAATTAAGGGGCATTTATTTGGCTTTTATGACAATATAAGTGGGATTTAAGAGAATCGTATGTACATATTAGATATCAAAAAGACTACAAGTAGTCGTCAAAGCAATAAAACATTCAGAACGCTCCATGAATAATGGGATAATTTGTGCCCTGATTTGATCAACAAACGCCTTTGATTTGCTTGGAGAAAACCATGAATTCTATCTTTAGTAACTTTCATTACTGTTTCATGAACCGGGATTCTGCGGAGTTGCATTGATGAATGTCTGCTTTGAACATAAACTATTGTTCTCACGGCAAGTTATTGGAAAAGTACATTAAATAGCTATTCAATCAAAAGATTAAAATAGATTGGATTAATAACCTTTTCTGTAATCAACTGATAAAGGTTGCGTCATCTTGTTTGCAGTTAATTTGTATTCATAACTAAATGTGGCATACGTCAGGGATGCAAATAACACACACACTTTTTATGTAAATGGGTTTAAATTCTTTGTTTGCAGTCAAATTAGAATTGAAAATTATTTAGCAAGTAAAAAAGAAAATCACGCTGTGATGCAAATTGTTTTGCTTTATGTAAATACAGAAATTCTTTGTTTGTCGTCAAGTTAGACTTGAAAATTGTTTCACAAGTAAGGAAGAAAAGTACGTACATCCTCATTCCAAACGGAACATTGACACGTTGTTAACTTGTTATTCGCGTTGCAACATGAGGATGAAACATGAGGAATGGAATAAAGTGGACATTTCACAAAGTTTACCTTTACCTGATCAAGCAAGACTATGGCATAAAAGTGTGAATAAAAAGCCCAATTTCTATTTTCTGCATTTGACGCATGCCGAGTAAGTCAACCCCTCTAGGCGAGTAGGCCAAAGAAATAAATTGTGAGTTTAATAGTTTTCCTGACCCTATGGGAAAGTTTGGTATCAGTGCAAAGCTTGGAGATTTATCTACTCCCTCTTAACCTACTCCAAGTGATTGGACGAAATCTAAAAACGCCCAGTCAAAAACAGATTTTACCACTGATATAATTGTGTTCGCCATTATAAGACGACAAAATGTAATTGTTTCAATACTTTAAATTGTTAGACAACACGACCATGTAAATAGACTATAGGCATAAATTACCAACCACAGTGCCGTCGACTATAACTTTAATGGAGTGTGCAGTCATTCAGACAAGCGCCCTGAACTTTACAAATCGAATTTAAATGTTTGAAGACCCTGGATGTCTATTTGCAGGACAACTACGTTTTGTTACGTGGGGGAAGTGTAGCAGCTCTGAACTTATCAATTAGAATGGTAAAATGAAATTATATAGTACGTGTTAATCTACAAAGTAGTATTCATTGCATTTTACTTATCGTAATCTAATAATTTGAAATTGATGTATCTTAGCCAATTCAGAATTACTATGATTATAATGATACACGAATGAAGATGGTATTCAAAGATATTCAATGACATGTTAAAAAGACGGCATCGTCATATCAGCATTAAATGTCCAAATAAAGCTGGATGCGATGCACTTCGTTGCTCATATATAGCTGATAATAGAGTACATATATGTAATATTGGTCTATATTAGAAGTGTACACAATGATCTTTCTAGTTAAGTCTGTATATTTAAAAGCTTCATTCATGAGAACAAAAGGAATTATTGATAAAAATACTATTAATATTAATACAATCGTGGTTTATGATCAAATTAATGAATTGCACTAAATTATACATCAAACAAAACAAAAATGAAAGCAGCTTCGAATTCCCGCCAATAATGCCACGTGTTGCGGGTTATTCAATATCAATTCGATAATTAGGCCCGCTATCAAGGTTAACTAAAGAGATGTAGTCCACATCACTATATATAGGTACATCCAGGCTTACATAAATAAATGAAAAACATAAATCCTTTATACTTGTCTGGATATACGTATATCTGGGCAAGTATTAAAATGTACAGACAGGATTGATTATTTTTTATTTATATCTCGGCTCATTGATGTTCCATTTACAGGACAGCTTTTTTTACAGCGGGGGAAGTGTTACAAACATAAAATCGATAATTATAAATCATAACCTGCACTTAGCTTCGCATCCTCCGAACGCATGATTCTTAGCATCATCCACTTTCACTGGTGATCCACTCGATTACGCTGGTTACCAAAACGAACCGTTTTGGTAACAAAATGTCGGAACGTCGAAGGCACGATTTTTCTTTTTTCCTTATTTCACGCATTGTAGGCGGAATCCCCACGACGTTTTTTTCTCACAACGTGCATCAGTATCATATGTTTTAGAAAAAGTACATGTTTGCGAAAAAATAGCTCAGAGGACAACAGAATCGTCGATTTACTTCCTCACTTAAGTTACATAAACGGTTTTTCGAAAAACAGTTAAGAGCTGCACTTTTAACCCGAATCGAGTGGATCACCAGTGACTATGTTTCTTCTCCCCAAAGAAGAACGAAGTCCCAGCAAGTCCCTGCTAGGAACGAGTTATGACGAGTTTTGGAGGCCTGTGTTCGGAGGATGCCTAATCGTCACATGTGTAGTTCTCCAATAACATTCACTTGGAGACATGGAGATAAATCACTCAAATGTGACTGACTAACACTTTAATGCTTGTACTCATCTTAATGGTTCAAGGATCGTCGTATCTCACCCTTACTAGAATTAGGATCTAATCCAATCGGCCTATCAAGAATTGATATACAACCGGGGACGATGATATTCAAGGACAATACGTTAAAGAAAACGTATGAATATAGATTAAACAGATGTGTATGTTCTGGGTTTATGGTTGTAATTATGGGTTTGTTCAACTCCAGATTTGCTCGTTTGTTTTCTGATACTGTCAAATAATTATCGTTCGTAATATCGCTGTTATTAACAACGTTATTTCGTGAAATTATCATAACTGCTATCTGACTGTACTTTTTTAGAATACTAGTACTCCACACACGTTGATTAAAAATGTGACTGAAAAGAACGTTTACGATAATTGATTGAAACCCAATACTGAACACAGTCATTTTGCTGTTAAAGGTCCTATATAAAGTTAAAACATGTTTTTATCATTGATATATATAATTTAAAGAGTCGAAACTTGATCGAAAAAATAATTTTTGACATGCATATTGGTATGGATTAATATAGAAATGTTCGTTTCATATATTTAGACCTCCAAATTTTGATTTTACCCAGTTTAAAATATAATGGTGGCTGCGGTGTTAAACAAGGAAACAATAGAACACAGGTTGCTTTAAAGTAGTTATACATACCGTGACCTAGAATAATCTCCAAAACTGAAAAACAGAATATTTTCACTGGATATTTTATTAGTTTCCAGTCTATACTCGAATCTACCTTTAATCGAATCCAGGTACGCAAATCGATCAACACACTTCGATAAAACTGCAAAGCCAATTTTAATGTCCCGTTATATGACACCTGATATGACTCTGCCCATTTGTAATTGGGATTAGTTATTCACAGATGTCACCATGTCTCGTACACCCCCTCTAAAAGTTTGGTAACAAGGGGTTGTCATTGGATAGCACTCCAAAACCCTGTTATTTATTAAATCTTAATTTCGTTCGCTATAATAACGACAGTTCGTGATTTTTTGACAAAATTTCATGAATTCCAAATCGTCAAATACAAACCGACTTTGATATTTGATCAAAAAGGGAACTTTCGGGTGCCAAACTTATGTAGAGGGGTGTATGAGAGCATTTTTTAACATTGCCTAATGGCTTGTTAAGTATTGGTGACGCATTTAACGCTAAAAGACTTGTGTTACATCAATACTTATATTGAGACAGCCGGAAAAGTTTTCTATTTTCAATTGTGCTTTTGTTGCCGGTGCTTACACGAAAGTTAAATATTACGTTGCCATAATTACATTTTCCTATTTTTGTCGAAACTGTTTATAAGAACGTTAGTTTATTCAATTCATGTCTGTACACAATGATACAAAAGTACATTCATTATGATGTTTAATGGAAACCAAGCCGAAGTCAAATTGACATTTTTGACTTGGTGAATGAACTGTTTATTCTATACCAACGTTGACAAAATATTAGATGTAAAATATGAATATCGTAAATAATGGTAAAGTTTAATTAAAAATTTTATCACAATTTGCAGAAGACAAAATACGTATAGATTATAGCTTAACATTGTTTTTGCAAGAAAATAGAATGTATATTATGGTGGACCCATATAGTTAGTTCATTGTAATAATTTTCTTTTGGAATGTATAAAATATGATGACAACGTAGACAACTAGACATCTCTGCATTGTATTCAGCCCAGCTTTACTTAAATCGTACCTCACATGATCCGCGATCTTTGAGAGAGATCGATTCAAGCAAGCTGTAGCCAGGGACCGTAGAACCTGATATCATTAAAAACACGAACGCAAGTTTTTACAGCGTCAGTTCTTTATTTGCTCTCACACTAGCTGCAGCCGATCGCGTTTGGAATACAACATGCCTTCTGGAGGTTTAACCTGAGATTAATTAATCTGAAGTTATTTCAATTAGGAAAACCTCGGAATTATTCTTCACGTCAAATACAGACTCTTTTACAGGAGATCTATATGGGAAATCTTTAACGGTCAACAGCCAAACTTGAAGTTAGTTTGAGTTGTCAAGAAGCCGTAGAATCACTTCAATTTTATTTCAAGTGTTGGTAGAAGAACCGATTCAGACTTCTGGAGATAACACAATCAACCGATAAATAGGAATTAATCTAATCGGGAAAATAATTTCTGACCTCGAGTTGTATAGATCTGATCTCTGCAAAGGATATCAATTTCAAAGGAAAGTCATGTATTTATGATCTACAGAGCTGTTAAGGTGAACCTTTTGTTAATATGCTTTGAAAATAGTTGATATAAAACGATTTGTGAAAGGTGTGTTTTTCTAAGCTGGATTAAAATAAGCTAATTTGATATTTAGATCTGGATTATTGTATTCTCAGGGACACTTCTCATCATCGGTATTTGATAGGAGACTCTCTTGCACCAAAACTCGTTGTTAATAAAATATTGAAGCAACGTGTACATACAAAGTTTTTGCAGTAGGAGAATACCATTAATAGGTGCTTTGCAGTTGATACTGGAATTTATTTATCGGTAAGTACTTTTTCAGTTCGGAGCCGATCACTGAGAAAAGTGTAATGTAATTTGTTCTTTTAATGATATAATTAGTTTCCAAATAGCTTGAGGCATGTAGCTTATAGTATGCAACCTCAGTTCCGTTTGTAATTGTAAAACCGATTCACTTTTGAAATCAACAAGATTTTTGGTTCGTATTTTGTTTAATGGTAATGTACTTATTAAATGCCGTTCGATATTCCTTCTACATTTACTTAGTTATTTTCGATGACATATATTCTTTTAGTTTGTATGGGGACTTTCAGGAAATGCAAAGATATTATAGAGGATATGGATATGAGGATATCACTGATTTATGATGGCTGTATGGATTAATTCTGCATTCATAATGGAGTAAGGCATTGGCCACCATCAACACTCTGCTCCATTTGCGCGCCGGACATTTCCGGACATTTGGTGGTCAATAGCTACATGTTCACGAAATGACGCTAATGTGTCCCTTATGGGAAAATATGGTGATTACATGTACCTCTAAATGAAATATAATTCATATGAATTGCTAAGAATCATATTATTCTTATCAGAGCCATGGTAGCTCACCCAGTTTGGACACTGCGAGACTTGTTTATGATCGCAGTAAAGTTGCAGCTTTTGACGTCTTTTACGATGGCCGATAGAACAAGAACACGACCACGAAGCGACGAAGCAGAAATGAGGAGAACATCTGAATTTATTACGTCTCATAAAAATAGATCATCGAATATAATACACACTGTGTCTCCTTCTCCTGTCTTAATAAAAACTCGGAGTATCAAAAATGACGGACGCGATGATTCTTCCGCCATGTCAAATCTACCTAGTGTTCAATCATCTTCAGTACCAGTCAAAGACCCATCGACTATACCTAAACGATCGACTGATACTGTCAAGCTACGTTTTAAGGCCAATAAGAATCGCACGATTTATTTAGGTGGACTTTTTGAGCTCTCGGGGGCCAACTTCATGCATCACGGTCACTCAGAGCTCGCTGCTGCAAAACTTGCAGTGAAGCATGTCAACGAGCAGAACATCATTCCCGGGTACCAATTGAACCTCCTCCACAGAGATACTAAGGTAAAATGAACTTACTCTTAATGATTTGTGATTTCCAGACTTATGATTTCCAAATTGATTTCTATTGCTTTCGTCAGTTATATAACATCAGAAAGACATTTGACCTCAAAATAAAGATCGCATGTGTCGTTCGGGCCATACTTGCTGAGGAATGCAGTTATGTCATTGACAGGTTTGGAAAATGTGTGCAGGTTTGCCTACAGCACGATATTGGAACACCTTGGGGCACCTTGTTTAAAGTGCTGTAACATTGCGGCTATCAGTCCAATGTTCATGAAATAACACAGTCTATTATGAAATTGAATGATGTACGTGTGTGCCAAATATCAGGGCAAAATTTCTAAAAAATATGAGAATTAAAGATATGAAGAAAAATTAGGGTTGCCGTTATTTGACCACCCTGTACTCTCCACGTGCGTCAGTCATGTGAAAAACACATGTTGAACAAATAGGTACACCATGACTGTCTTATCATACTTTTCCAAATTTTCCGATACGTTTAGAACAAAAAACAATAATTCGTATGTTTAAAATTGATTAAATTATTTTCTTTGTTCAAATGTACTCGAGTGTTTAAAGTGTCTTGTCAGTTTTGACAAATAAAACATGACAAAAACTGGAATGCACTATTATTTCAAAACTAGTAAAAATATTTAAAACTAAAATTGAATATATGAAAAGTCATTCTCCATTTTATGGTACATATTACATATACTCGTGTTCTTGTACCCTGCGTGCAGAGTCCAGTTATAAATGTTGAAGCTCTCTTTTAAGAAGCGAAATCGAATAGTTACACTGGACAGTTTCTGTATGTATTTATAAAATCATCAGAACTGAAGAAATCTCTTGAAGATCGGACTAATTAGCCAAATTATGATGAAGTTTATTAAAATGCAAGTCAGCTACGTGTCAACTTTAATTAGACTAATTTGAATGATTGGGCCACTTCAGGATGACGATGGTGGTGGGGGGGGGGGCAAGAATCAATATGATTCTACCTTCTCATTCACACCGGTTCGTTTCGGTAACCAGCGTAATCGAGTGGATCACCTGTGAACGTACTCCGGGTCGTCACGTTCTGCAATCAGAACGATTGACGACGCACTAAAAGACGAACTGGACGCATCACGAACGGAACTGCACTTTTGCATTGCGCTCTTAACAATAAAACATTGTTTATCAATTCACATATTCTACAAAGATTCAACTTTTGATAATCAAGATTAGTGAAGCATCGTCAAGGATATGAAGTGTGTGGGGGTTATGTGTTGATTATACACTTCGGGATATGGGTGACAGCATATCACGATACAATAAAAGATAAAAACTCCCTCCTTGGATGAATCCATCAATGTTTACACAAATCGTCATTGATTCCGATATATAAATCGGATTTTCATGATCTTCTTTTATAATCTTCATGATGGATGGCAGCAAGACTTGACACATGCTAAATATACGCATTGTCATGATCGATGGTGCACCGTATGAGTGTATGGCCTATAGGCGAGAATGTTGGTCCACGATGAACAAGTAACTAAAACTTTAATTCAGCAGTAAGAAAAAGTAAGGGCAAAAAAGTTGGACCTGTCAGTCTAAAATATGCTCTCTTTACCGTATTCCTTCGCATTTTACTGTTATGGCGTTTTTTTAACTTTCACTGCATATAAAATTGATTTCTATAGGATTGAAATGTGACATTTATTGCATTTGATTATGTAGCGTATGTTTAAGAATTGGGCTAGAGTAAATGAATCGCCTGTGTACAAATTTCAAGGGCCAATATCCCCCAGGCAATAGATTAACTATGTATGTTAACTCTATGGCTATGGTAATATGATTTAGTTCTTATTTTCACAAGTTAAGTACAATGCTAATTTGCAGTTGTAATTTAATATCCTCGTGTTTTGTTATGAATTGATCCATAATGTCGTTATAGAGAACGAAATTCGAAATTACCAAGAGTATCCAATTTCGCTGACAAGTCTTAAGATACGATACCATTTAAGGTAGGTAGTTCAGCACTTTCACAAAATGTTGAAACTTTTGAGAATGTCATGTCAATTCCAGCCAATCGATATATATTGAAGTTTAAACTATCATTTTCTACCATAGTGTGAAATAAATATCATTATTATATCGCTATCTAGCTAGCGACAGTACAATTGGTCAAAACCGGGTCACATGTCGTGGGATATCTGGCGATATTCAATGGCAATGCTAATCACATAAGACAGCGTTATTATATCACTGTCTAGGTATCGACAGTATGATTGGTCAAAACTGGGTCACATGTCGTGGGATATCTGGCGATATTCAATGGCAATGCTAATCAGATAAGACAACCGTGAGATATCTAGCGATATCCCACGCTCCCGGGAATTTTCAAAGAATTTGTTTTCGTTCAGTGTAAGTAATTTAGTTCAGTGTAAGTCAAAATGGCAGACGAACTGAGTAGATTCGTAAAAATATCTGTATTTCAATGTTAACCTATGACTTAATAATATTAGGGATGTTAAGCTAGACAGTGATATAATAAAACAAATATTTCACTCTATTTTCGGTGAATACCTGTAGCACTTTCACAAGGTGATATTCCACTTGCCCTTCGGGCTTCGTGAAATATGTACACCTCAATAGAGTGAAATATTTGTTCAATATCAAAATGTTAGCGCAATGGCTTGATTTTAACAGGGACACGGGGCCTTATACAGGGTGAGCCAAAGAGGTAACCCAAACAAATGTTTATCATCCAGGATGGGATACTGAACAAATATTTCACTCTATTGAGGTGAGTACCTGTACATCTTTAACAAGTGATATCACCTTGTGAAAGTGCTACAGGTATTCACCGAAAATAGAGTGAAATATTTGTTTTATTATATCACTGTCAGCTAAACATCCCTAATATTATTAAGTCATAGGTCAACATTGAAATACATTGAATCTACTCGGTTCGTCTGCCATTTTGACTTAAACTGAACTGAATTATTTACACTGAACGAAAACAAATTCTTTGAAAATTCCCGGGAGCGTGGGATATCGCTAGATATCTCACGGTTGTCTTATCTGATTAGCATTGCCATTGAATATCGCCAATTATTATATCACTATCTAGCTAGCGACAGTATGATTGGTCAAAACCGGGTCACATGTCGTGGGATATCTGGCGATATTCAATGGCAATGCTAATCAGATAAGACAACCGTGAGATATCTAGCGATATCCCACGCTCCCGGGAATTTTCAAAGAATTTGTTTTCGTTCAGTGTAAATAATTTAGTAGATTCAATGTATTTCAATGTTAACCTATGACTTAATAATATTAGGGATGTTTAGCTAGATAGTGATATAATAAAACAAATATTTCACTCTATTTTCGGTGAATACATGTAGCACTTTCACAAGGTGATATTCCACTTGCCCTTCGGGCTTCGTGGAATATCACTTGTGAAAGATGTACAGGTATTCACCTCAATAGAGTGAAATATTTGTTCAATATCCCACGACATGTGACCCGGTTTTGACCAATCATACTGTCGCTACCTAGATAGTGATATAATAATATAAGTTATTCAATGATTCGAGTCAAATACAGAAAATATTCTTCCCGAGAAGGTTGTATTTCACGATGCGCTAGCAGAGTGAAATACAGACGTTCAAGGGAAGAATAGTTTCTGTATTTCACGAGAAATCATTGAATAACGTTTTTATTCCATGATTACCCATATAGTCCTGCGGAATAATGGCATATTGAAACTTTTGGTTGCCTTCTAGGATGTATGCTATATCTTTGTATTTTCTTTATCTGTAAGTTAATTACTTTCAAAATCAGAACTGTGCCGGACTGGCGCTGGTGGGCAAAATTTTTTACAGCATTGTATAGGTGGCGCCCCCTTGTAAAATGCCCATTTCATAAAATTTTTTTTTTAAAGGGCTGTTGGTAGAGTTGAAAACTTTAACATATTCAGATAAACTATATTTAGTCTAAACAACATGTCAACTATGTTTCATTACATAAAATCACAAATTTAATGAGATATGCTTGATTTCTTACCCTAGCGCCACCTATTTTTAAGGGGTCACTATGTTTAATAAGCATATTTTGCAAACTAAACAAAATTGTGATCTGAAATTATTCATGACTTTAAATTGACCCATGTCAAACATAGTGTGAACATATGAGACTTGAATTTTATTTAGTTGAAGAGAAAAAAAATATATTAATATAGACTTCCTTGTATTCAGCAATATTAATATGTATGAAAAATATCACTGTAATCACTGTGAAACATTGAAAAATATAATATCAGCAGATTCTGTGAGTCTATCTATCAAAATAAGCTATTTATGTAAGATACATAGGTTCTTTGAATTAAAATATTTTTTATATTTTATAATGTATACCCTTTTATAGGGGGAGCGGGGGGGGGTTGATGACAAGTTTAAAATGTGAAAGAAACTGATTGTTGACAGTGTAAGTAGGTCATCCCTGTTGTACAAGGGTTAAATTTTAGCCCATTTACTGGAAGTGTTACATCTGTACCAGGGACACCATAATTCGGGGGCTATAATACTAGGTTAGCTAGGACAAGTGGCGCCATCATTAAACCTGCAATAAAACTTGCCTACAGCCACTTCTTGATTTTAAGCCAGTGGACCCAAGCACAATGTTAACCATCATGCATCAGGCATAGGAGTTGACCCAAACATATAAACAAGATTACACAATTTTGAGAACGCACCAGCAGTTGTACAAAGTAGCCACTGATGTCATTTTCTGGACCCCAACAACCTTTATTATACATTCATCAACAGGCTTGGGGGCATGTACATGCTGATGAATTTTGTTGATTGTGTCGGCATCCTAATGTCAGACAGTTGAATAGAAGAGATACCCAATTTGCTGGGGAAACCAAGATTAACAGGCAAGAATTACCCTAACAATGTTCAAGCATTGAGACTACTTGTTGAAGAACTTTCGAGGCAAGTAATTCATCA